TCTTCAAAAACGGCTTCTTTATCAATTTAAATTAAAAAAAACAAATTAGTAACAGGAACCTGGAGCTGTTCTTTTATCAACAATAAATACTATTTTAACTGTCCCTGTACCTCACATGACCCTCCCCAAAAGATTAGGTTAGGGGTGTGTGTGTGTGTGTGTGTGTGTGTGTGTGTTTATGTGTTGATCGCTGTGATCAGTTCCCCTTTCCTCTCTTCCTTTCCCCACTTTCCCCTACCCGTCTAGTATCAGTATTCCCATTCCTGTTCCTCGATATCATGATTAACTAGGCTTTATCACAACTGCTTCCCCAGAAATCATATTCCCTGCTCCTGGTATGGATTAAATGGTGCTTCCCTAAAATTGGCTGAAGTTAGAATCTAATCCATGCGCTTGAGCACATGGCCCTGATTAAGAACACATGTTACATGTTTTGTCTGTTGTTAACAGTTAAACTAATGGGGTCATAAGGTGGGAGGTTGGGTCCTATTCCCAGTCTCTTGAGTGCTGTCTTATAAAAAGGGAGAACAGATATAGAAGCAGAGAAAACAAAACAAAAACAACAACAAAAATGGGGAAAGGCACCATGTGAAGATATCTGCAAGCCAAAAAATGGAGAGAAACCACTGAGGCTCCCTGAAGCCAGAAGAGATCAGGAAGAACATTCCCCTAGGACAAACAAGGAAACTTGCGATACTTCTAGCCTTCCAAACAATACATTTTCACTCTTGAAAGCCATTACTTTGGTGGGGTTTTGTTATAGCAGTGCCGGGTCACTAAGGCCCTTCTGACTTAGGGTACGGGTTCCCTTGTCCATGTGCATCCTCTTCACGTCACCCTTGTTATCAAAACCTTCGAAGATGTTGGTGAGCTGTCGTGGTCTGTCCATAAGTCTTCACCTAATTCGCAAGTTCTTTTTAAGTAAAACTTACCAATAAAAAGAGAATACTTATTTAAAACAGCAGCAACAACCCTCAGGGGTTCCCATCTCTCAGTAAAAGCTGGGCTTAGAATGACAGCTGAATCTCCTGTTCTCCGTGACTCCCTTCTCTGAGCTGATCGCTGACTGTTTCCCCGCTTGTTCCCACCTCACCTCATTTCAAGGCTTCGGCACTCGCTCTGCCTTAGCTATCTGCACACCCTCCTTTCTAATAGTAACGAAAGCATAGCCTTCCGTCAGTCTGCCTCACTTGATACCTCAAGAACACTGCGTCCCTTCCCGCTGCATCCTCCTCCTTCACGGATGGCCTCTGCACTCACTCCTCCGGCAGAACCTGAGGCCATGCCCCTGCAGGTCAAAGGGGCTGTCTAGTACCCTCGGAGGCAGAAGGGAGCAAGGCAGCTAGCAGGCACCCCCTCAGCAGTCAATGATGGCAACAATAAAAACAAAGACACACTTACTGCCACACTCCTTTCCTCTGTATCCTCATGTCCTCTTCCTCTTACCCCTGACAATGGACACCTGCCTCATTCTCTACGCATCTACCCACAGCCCCTGGTCTTCCTGGCCTCTGGTCCAAAGGTGCATATTTAAAGAGAACCCCAGATGTCACTGAGGCTCACCTTCTCTGTGAGTGAGGCAAAGCTCATTGAGGTTTGAGGTAAAGATTACTCGCTGTCACTGGGCCATTGAGACCCTGTAGAGCAGGGCAGAATGACCCCTCCGAGTTTCTGAGACTGTCCCTGTTTATGGGAAGGAAAATCCGTCTGTCTTCTGAGGGCTGGTTGGTGGATTCGAATTGCCAACCGTATGGATCACAGCCCAACTCGTTACCAGGACGCCACGGGCTCCTTCCTAGTATCTAAAGGTTAATCTGTCCAACCCAAGGCACACAGAGACTGGACTTTCCTAAAGTCCCACATAGCCCACAGAGAGAAAGCCAAGCTGGGCTTTGAACATGGGTCTCTGGAGCTCCGGAGCCCCCGTTATCCAGCATACATGGGCTCCTGGCTCACAGAAGCAAGCCCTGGCACCCTCTCTAGCAGTGGCAAGCGGCCGATTGTCCTCACCTTTTTATCCGGGACTCGTACTCGATCTTCTGTTTGGTCATTTCCTGTTTCAGGCTGGACACTAAACTGTGCAGCGCACTGTGGTTGCTGGTGTTATTAGCGACAAATGTCTCGCTATTGTCACTGCTGCTGGTGGCACGACTACTTCGACCTCCCACACTCCGCCGGTCACTTTTGCTTTCATAGTCTCCTGGGTGGGCAAGGTCGTCCTGCGGGGGGCCGTCTAGAACGGGGTCCTCAAAGTTGCCCCCGTAAAAGTCTTGCTCTGGACAGGTCGTGGTGGAGGAGCGACAGGAATTGGAGTTCTCGGGGAGGGAGATTTCACAAGAAGACGTGGACCAAGTGGCACTGTCCACGCTCTGCTTGTCGTCGAGGCTCAGCGCAGAGAACTGCTGATGGACGTTGTCGTAGGTGGAGAGCCGGTTGTGCTGGCCCGCCTCTGGCGCCGGCTCTTTCTGCTTGCTCTCCCTCAGGGTCACGAAGCCATTGTGCAGCCAGCTGGGGCCGCGACTGTTCATGGGGGTCCCCAACGTGTCGGTGTTCAAGATGGTCATGCGCACGGTTCCATTCTGCACACTGTGCGTGCCCATCTTGGTGCCAGAGCCCTTCAGCGAAGAGGCCCTTCTGGCCTGCAAGCTCCCATTGGGGGTTGTTTGCGTTTTCTCAGGACCGTCTGCGTTACTGCTGCTGAAGGACCCATTTGTGACAATCCCACTGCCCTTATTGAAGGCGGGGTTCTTTTTGACCGTGAGCGGGGGGCTTCTGGAGACATCCGGCTTGTGGACGCTGTTCCGAGGGCTGTGGGTTTTGCTGCCTGATAGGGCTGCGGGGGACCCATTGTCCACCCCGCCTCTCTGCGGAGACTCGGACTTGTCCCACGAGCATTGCCGGCCAGGGCTGTCCTTGGTATTGTTGTTCTCCTTGTTCGGTAGCTGGCCCGCGTTGGCTTTCTTCTGAATCTCGTTGTTGTTGTTACTCCCTCCGTCTTGGGGCTTGCTGTGCGGTTCTGCATCTTTGGGGAACAGGCAGTCATGTTTGCTAATCATCATCGACATCAACTGCTGTACCACCACGGTGCCTGGGGGAGCACAGGAAACAGTGTCTTATGAGCAAGAGAATGTTGGTTTATTCTCTCATTTGAATGTGATTCTTAAAGAACCATATTTGTGATATGCTTCAGAAGAAAAATACTGCTAGTAAGAATGTTAACCCACTTCAAAGAGCAAAACGTCATCGTCTATTTTAAATACTAGGTTATATGTCTTTGATAGATTTGAAAAAATGATATGTAACATTTGTTTACAGATTTTTTAAAATAAGGATATCTATAATGTTACTATTCAAAATACACACCAAAAATACTTAGGTGAACATGAAGTAGAACTTTCTAGCAGTGCTGAACTATATTCTTCCTGATAAAAATAGAAGTAAAGGCTAACATTTTTTAGTATTTAATATGTGCCAAGATTATGCCAAATGCTTTACCGTTACTGGTTGATTTGGATTTTAAAATAACTCTAAAATTATTGTTACTATCATTGTATTATAAAGGTTATGTAACTTTACCAAATCAAAAAAAGCTATAAAGGAGCAGAGTCGGGAATGTGGAGAGTCATAAAATATTCCAGTTGAAGATAACAGGATCTTATTCTTAACCATTGCAAGGTTTACTGCAAGCATAACATTGAATTATGAAAAAAATTGAGAAGGAGGCCACCATGTTTTCTTCATCTGAAAATGGCTCCAAGCATCCAGATTTTTAAATGGCATCTTGAACTAGATCTCTCCCCACCCTTCAGTGGGTACATTGTCTGCCTTTTTAATTTGTGGGGACAATCAAGTTCATATGGCTTTGCTCATCATTTGGACACTACAGGACATTTTACGTCACATCATCTCAAATGATTGATTAAGAGCCACCCCAATCCTTCCCTCCCTAAAGAGCAGTGACGAAAGCTTTCAAAATCAATTTCTGACAACTCTGAAAATTAAAAACAACCTAAAAGGCTTACAGTAATACAGAGAACATTTAGTCAAGAACACCAGTTATCTCTCAGTAAGAACAAGTTCAGTGACATTTTGACTAACCTTATTCTCATTTACCTTTCCCCAAACTTTGCAGAAGCTATGAAAACCAATGCCCTATATCACAGTGGGAAAAATGAATACAGCAACTATGGAAGTAAAAATATCACAATTGGAACTTGAGATAGTTAAAGTTTAATATGCCAACCTTGCCATTAAACACATGTGGCATTAACTGAAGAGGGGAGAGATCTATGGCTCAGTGAGCCTAGCCTTTCTAGTTCTCAGGGCTCTTGCTTTCTGATGATCAGACCAGGATGCAGCTGCCTTAGCCAGTTCCCTGCTTTCAGGCTCACTTCCTGAAAGACATCCCTGAGGAGAAGGCACAGGGACCTACCCTGATGAAGCCCTGGGTGCTGGAGCAGCTGTGTGAGACCCCTGCCAGCGCTGAGATTCTTACACGCTCACTGATTCGGCTTTCCTTCTGCATTTGGTGTCATTGCGTGTGTTTTGTGAGATTGAGGAGGACTTTGTATATAGGTGTCGGATATATGGGCTAATGTTGGACTTATGGGCTTGGACTGGACTGGGTTGGGATGCTTTCTTAATGTACACTTACCCTTTATATAAAACTATCTCTTATACACAGATGCGTTTCTGTGGATTTGTTTCTCTAGTCTACCCAGACTAACACAAAACTCCTTCAAAACTCAATTCCCAGAGAATTGCCATCATTGCACTTGTTTAGGGATTCTCTGGAAGACCCCACTTCACAAAGCTTGTCTTTATTTGGTTTTTATTTGATTAAGAGCTTTATCTGTGTGGACAGTATTTCCCCCAGTGGCGTTTGTCAGATACAATGACCACCATATTTGTTTAACTTTACAATTGACTGTCAAAATTGATAATGGTTGAAACAACCAAAAAGGCTATCTAGGAAGTTTAAATGGTAAATCTGAGGACTAGAGGGTACACAGGGGGCTGTGGAAAGCGACAGTAAAATCTCTAGGAATCTAGAAGACCAGATGCATCCCTATGGTTATTTGCATGTTCTTGGCTGTGTGCTCACTTAGGAATGATCTAAAAGGTCTTGTTTGCTGCTATTGTGAGTTAATTTGTTGTTGTTTTGAGGTACCATCCAGTTGGTACTGACTCACAATGACCGACTAGCCAACAGAATGAAACACTGCCAGCCCAGCAGCAGCCTCACAATCTTTCTAGTTTGAACACATTGTTTAAATTCCGTGTCAATCTATGTCAAGTTCTGAGTGCCTTCCAAACTGAGGGGTTCATCTCTGGCATTGTATTATGATACCAGAGACTCTTCCACTAGATTGTCGATTTTACAGAAATGGCCCATCTCTTTCTTCTTCCTAGTGTATCTTAGTCTGGGCCCTCCGTTGAACCCTGACCACCATGGACAGATGAGTGATGGTTTGTTTAATGACTTTAAACACTAACTTTGTAAAATCTGTTTCCTTTGTCAACTACCCATTTATCAGCTTGCTGTCCTGTGATGGCTTGTGTATTGCTGTCATACTGGAAACTATGCTACCCATATTTCAAACGAGAGCAGCGTCACTCATGGTAGAGAGGTTGAGCAGAGTTTCCAGGCTCATACAGACAAAAAAAAAGGACTAGATGACCCACTTCTAGCTGCCTCCTCAAAGTACAGTTGTCCTTAATCACATGGATGGAACAAAGGTTTTGGAATCTTCATTATCTTATTCATTCTGTTTTTTTCCCCCTGGAAGTTTGTAAAGCCCCCTTTTATTTCTAAATTACACATTGGGCTACTACCCCAAAAGTCAGCAGTTCAAAATCACCAGCCACTCTGAGGGAGAAAAACAAGGCTTTCTACTCCTGAAAGCAGTTACAGTTTTGGAAACTCATGAGGCAGTTCCACTCTGTCCAAAGTGTGGCTATGCGTTGGCATCAAGTTGATGGCAGGCAGTTTAGCGATGTTTTTTGTTTCTAAATAGAAAACTAAATAAACCTACTTGCTGAATCACAATCAACTATTGGAGAATCACAGGAGAAACAACAGTGATGGAGATCAATGATGATACGTATCCATCTTCCATCTTTGAGAGCCCCTAAGCCTGTTGCCCTGTTCTAAAAACTCTGAAGAATAGACCTGGCAGCAGTTGGAGCAGAATGCTGTCAACATCGTCACAAGTACGTACTGTGTTTGAAGACTGGGTGAACTGAATTGTAATCTACCCTTGGCCTGTATGGCAAATTTCCATGGTTAGCACCCTCCGTTATATATAAATCTGCCTACTACTTTGTTTAACGAGAGCTTTTTCTTGTCATTTGAATATTAGTTTCAGAACCCTCACTGTTTCTGACCGTGGTTATAAACTGTTTGGAACAGTTAATTATGTGGAAAGGATCAATTCCAAGTTCTCTAGGATGTGTCTCTGAAAAGTCATGCCAAAGTGTGTCTGCCACAGGTCTAGTGAGGGTCAGAGCCCTAGAGATTTAGACAGCCCTATCTTCAAGGGATAGCCTTTCCTGCAGCTTGGGGGTTTTTACTTTGTTTTCGTCTCCAGGATAATAAATAGCAATAGGTCCTTACTAAGGAATTTAAAGAAATTACTGTAGCTATTCAGGACAGACTAGCATAGTAGCAATAATATGTGTGCCACTATGAATGCTCCATCTTTTTCTTTTCTTTTTCCTCCCTCTTCTCTGTCGCTTTCTTCCTTAGAATGCTAATGAGAAATGTTTAGCCCAAGTAATGAGGTCAGAGTGGTTATAATCAACTTATTCTGAATGCTCTCAGCGAATTCTAGAGTAACAGTGTGGTACACATTCAGCAATTCCCCCCTCTATGATATGATGTTCTACTGGTTGATTTTAAGCGCCATATATATAATAAGCACGTTTCTTTGTAATCATTGGTTACGAATTCACATTCCCTTTAGAGAGATCTAGTCACTTTAAAGTCTATATGTAAAGGTATACTAGTTATTATTGTTCCAACAAATACTTTTCTACATATGTAATTTGTATGTGGGCAGATATCTCTAGGATATCAGATGAGTTTGGACAAATGTGTAAACACCACAAAGTCATAATATGGAAAACTCTCCTGGGCCCCTCTGTAGTCAATTCATTACTTCCACCTCCTGTCCCTAGAAATCACTTTTTTTCTGTCAGGAAAATTTTGCCTTTTCTAGATGTTCACATAATAAGAACCACACAGTAGGCAATCTTTGGTGTATGGGCATTTTTCATTTTGCACAATACTCCAGGTTGCTCTGTGCACCACTCTGTTAAAACTCCTTCTTTTAATGTGGAATAGTGCTCTCTTCTATGCGTGTGCCACAAGCTACCTCTACACTAATTACTTATAAGGCTCCTCTGGGTTCAGATCAGTTTCACAGCAATGGGCTTATTCACCAATGGATTCGTAGTTGGGTGGTTTTCAGTTTGAAGCCGTGATGCGTAGAGCTGCTATGAGCACGTGACTCTCTGTCTTTATGTGAACATGTGTTCATTTCTCTTGCACAACAACTTCGTATTGTGCTATGCTTGGTATTATGGTTAGTGTATGTTTATACACATAGAAGAAAGAACCTGCCTAAATCTTTTCAAAGACCCGTTAATATTTACCAATTCTACAAGCTAAACTTGGTGATGCCAGTCTCAATTTGACAACCACTGTGAATTCCTGGTTGGCCCAAATAACAAAGTGCTTGACTCACGCAGAAGTGGCTTGGCTCAAGGGCCTGGTGATCTGCTTCCAAAAGCTCACACCTTGAAAAACGTAAGGAATGCAGTTGTTTTCTGTAACCCACGAGGCTGCCAAAAGTCAAAATTAACTCAATGCCAATTGTTTTAATTTTGCTGGTCTCTTTGTTTCAAGTTTGGATTTTTGCTGGTCTGTTTGCTTCAGTTTGTGTGCAGATGCATCTCGGTGTGGTTTATATTTGTATTTTCCTAATGAACATGTAACTGTCGGTTTGTCATAATGAGGTGGTCTGCATGTTTCTGGGATGCTGGATACTATAATACCACTCATTATTTTCAATACCAGCAGTGGCT